CTCTCTCGCCCCCTCTCGCTACCCCCCTTCTCTCCTCCTCTCTCTCCCCCTCTTTTCAAATACAAAGCCCCTCCATGATGAATGTAAATGATGGTTCATTACGCTTGGTGCTTGGACCAGGCCTGAGCTAGGAGAACATGACACCCCCCAAGCCTTGCCAACCACATGGCAAGTGTATGTGATGTGAATTACACTCGATTGAATTGATAAGCAATCAACTGCGTAATGAAAGGAAACTGCTATGCAAGAGGGACAACAGTGGGTCGGTTGATGGACCAAGTGTGGAGCTCATAAGGAGAATCCCGAACCAATCTGTATGACAGGTACAGTGGATCAGTTAATCGACTAAGTTTGGAGTGCAGAAGGGGAATCCCGAACCAATCTGTACGACAGGTCAGCTACTGCCGGTGCGTTCTCTTTTCGTTCTTTTTTCTTTTTTAAGGAGGTGGCAGTGGAGAAGAGAGGAGGATGGCGTGAAGACTGTTAGAAGAGTGGAAGAGTGGAAGAGCGAGATGACGAGAAAAATAGAAGAGGATGAGGTGCTGTATTCCGTTTAAAAAATAATATAAAAAAAGAAGAAGAAGAGGAGGAGGAGGTGAAAGACACTGAAAAGAGTGGACAGGCATTTGGGGGTCAGCCGGTTGAACCGCCTGGGCATCAGGACAGCATACTTACGAGTGAGTGCAAGCGAACGGTGAGCTGTGAGTTAGCACATGAACAGTCCAATATGGAAAAAAAAATGAAAAGACAAGTGTGTTCGAGAGTCGAGCTTGCCCCTGTTGCTCACTTATTGTCATGATGGTGTCGTCTTGTGTGTTCCCTTTGCCAATGCTTGACAGCGAAATCCTGCATCGACGCCGGCAAGCTATCCGTCCGTGCCTGCACCTATCTTAGAGAACCCAGCATTGTTTGAGAAGCTGGACACCGACGTTCTTTTTTTCTGCTTCTATTATCAGCAGGTGAGAGAGTTGCCTGTGTGATGGGAAGACATTTGTATCTTCCTCAGACATGCTGGTGGGCATTTCCACTTGTAAACAATACTTCCTGTTTCCCTTTCACCCTCTCTAGATGGCATATATCTAAATGTTCTACAGATGGAAGGTAGACTTCTCTAGAAAAAAAAAAGAAAAGAAAAGGAGAAGAAAGGGAGAAAACAAGAAAAAAAAAGGAGAGAAAAACTTCAAAAAACTTCAAAAAAGTTGAAAAAACTTCAAAAAAAGGAAAAATTGAAAATTCTCACAAAAATGAAAAAAAAAAGAACAATTGAAAATTCTCAAAAAAATTGAAAAAAATAAAAAAAATTCAATAAAAGAAGAAAGAAGGCCAGACTTCTCATGTTTGAGAATACTGATAGAGGCGTAATTGTGATGACTGATGGTTTAGGGTACATATACATTATGATATATTGAGGTTAGCGCTCTTCCTACATTTTGGCCTGCAATCGACATGCCGTTTGTCCGGAGTTGTATGGTGGGCATGCTCAATGCCAGTTGTTGTGGCAATTGTTGTGCTGAGAATGCTCAGCTAGGTCGTCCATGTGCCCATCCACCTCATCCTTGCAATGCGTCCCCTCTCTGTCGTCAAGGACAGATTCATTCTTCAGCCTTTTCTTATCCTCTCCTTTGCCTTCATCTTTATTCCACACTCCGTACTTTCCCTTTTTCGTTCTTTGTTTGTCTTCTCTTCCTCTCTCTTCTCTGTGTTTATCACCTCCCCCTTTACTCTGCCTGTTTCGCACAGCATACAAGGGGTTCGCTATGGCACATGGGGATGCGGGTAGCTCGTGCTGGCGAGCCTTGTACAGGAGAGGCACAGTGAAGGGCCATTAGAAGAAGAATGAGAAAAAATGAATGGTTTCTGTGTGCCCCTCATGTTCGGCTTGTTTTTTATTCTTTACTGTTTGTTTTGCAAAGTGCGCTCTTTTAGTTCATACTACTTCATAGTTATGTGACAATATATTGCTTCCACTGAGTCTGTGATCCTGCTGCAGCTTTGTTCCTTGGCATTCCAATGTTTCCACTGCCAGAGGTTGTCTTTTGGCGAAAAGTTGTACTGAGCAACTGTGTGAGGCTGCAAATCCCTGCATGGACAGACTGACGGCTGGTAGGCCCTGAAATGGCGCCGTTGAAATCACTTGGGTCAGTGTGATACAGAAAAGGCTGGGCCAGACCAGGCTGGATTTGGAAAGCTCGAGGACCTCCCAACTAACCAGTCAATTTCAAACTAGTCTGGATTTATCCGGACCCTGGCTTCTTGTACTTGAAGGAGGTAGCGAGCTGTAAGTCTTGAGGCTGCTGGATTAGCACCAAGGAATGGAGCACCAGCCCGCCACAGCTGCGGTGCTCTCTCTGTGTGTGTGTGTGTGTGTGTGTGTGTGTGTGTGTGTGTGTGTGTGTGTGTGTGTGTGTGTGT